AAGAACATTTGAAGGCCACAATTTAGGTATAGTGCAGTCCTTTACTGCGGGCAACTGTTTTGTATTAAAGATACACATCACTATCAATATGTTTATGGCAATACACCATTTAATGAAATGAACCTTAGATATAGGTTGACAGTATGAGACATATCAATCCAGTTATATATATTATTAATCAAGCATTTAATTTCACTGAACATAAATCTGTAAGACCAGTGACATTTCACTGACATAAAACTAATATAACATTATTTAGGTGATGCAGGTTAGTTCCGTATTTGACTGTATTGTATCTTATTCCAAATATGTATTGAACGATGTCATTCACTTGTGTATTTTATACAGTATACATAGTTAAAAATACAGGTATGTGTACACTTGTAGTAACATACTTCATAGAATGAATTACCAATTCTCGACACATAATCTAGATATGATACGAGGATTTATCATATGTAACTCTTCTCTAAACATGAAAACAATACCAACCATAATTAAAATATTATTTTGTGAGTTGATTTTTCACATACTACCCTGGTTTCATACTCCATAGGAATACAATTAGCCTCAATAACATTGCTTGTCATAGTGATAAGCTTACAATGCATTAGCTTTAACGTATGGCGTGTTTCCTTGTACAAGTAATCCATCATCAAACTGACGTCTGATCACCATGTCTATCGTCGTGATGTAGTCCTATCTGAACCAGCTTGTAATCACCAACTAACTGATGTCTGATCACCATGTCTATCGTCGTGATGTGGTCCTATCTGAACCAGCTTGTAATCACCAACTAACTGATGTCTGATCACCATGTCTATCGTCGCGATGTGGTCCTATCTGAACCAGCTTGTAATCACCAACTAACTGATGTCTGATCACCATGTCTATCGTCGTGATGTGGTCCTATCTGAACCAGCTTGTAATCACCAACTAACTGACCCCGATCACCATGTCTATCGTCGTGATGTGGTCCTATCTGAACCAGCTTGTAATCACCAACTAACTGACCCCGATCACCATGTCTATCGTCGTGATGTGGTCCTATCTGAACCAGCTTGTAATCACCAACTAACTGATGTCTGATCACCATGTATATCGTCGTGATGTAGTCCTATCTGAACCAGCTTGTAATCACCAACTAACTGATGTCTGATCACCATGTATATCGTCGTGATGTGGTCCTATCTGAACCAGCTTGTAATCACCAACTAACTGACCCCGATCACCATGTCTATCGTCGTGATGTAGTCCTATCTGAACCAGCTTGTAATCACCAACTAACTGATGTCTGATCACCATGTATATCGTCGTGATGTAGTCCTAGCTGAACCAACTTGTAATCACCAACTAACTGATGTCTGATCACCATGTCTATCGTCGTGATGTAGTCCTAGCTGAACCAGCTTGTAATCACCAACTAACTGACCCCGATCACCATGTCTATCGTCGTGATGTGGTCTTATCTGAACCAACTTGTAATCACCAACTAACTGATGTCTGATCACCATGTCTATCGTCGTGATGTAGTCCTATCTGAACCAGCTTGTAATCACCAACTAACTGATGTCTGATCACCATGTATATCGTCGTGATGTAGTCCTATCTGAACCAGCTTGTAATCACCAACTAACTGACCCCGATCACCATGTCTATCGTCGTGATGTAGTCCTATCTGAACCAGCTTGTAATCACCAACTAACTGATGTCTGATCACCATGTCTATCGTCGTGATGTAGTCCTATCTGAACCAGCTTGTAATCACCAACTAATTGACCCCGATCACCATGTCTATCGTCGTGATGTGGTCCTATCTGAACCAGCTTGTAATCACCAACTAACTGATGTCTGATCACCATGTCTATCGTCGTGATGTAGTCCTATCTGAACCAGCTTGTAATCACCAACTAACTGACCCCGATCACCATGTATATCGTCGTGATGTAGTCCTATCTGAACCAGCTTGTAATCACCAACTAACTGACCCCGATCACCATGTCTATCGTCGTGATGTGGTCTTATCTGAACCAGCTTGTAATCACCAACTAACTGACCCCGATCACCATGTCTATCGTCGTGATGTGGTCTTATCTGAACCAACTTGTAATCACCAACTAACTGATGTCTGATCACCATGTCTATCGTCGTGATGTAGTCCTATCTGAACCAACTTGTAATCACCAACTAACTGATGTCTGATCACCATGTATATCGTCGTGATGTAGTCCTATCTGAACCAGCTTGTAATCACCAACTAACTGACCCCGATCACCATGTCTATCGTCGTGATGTAGTCCTATCTGAACCAGCTTGTAATCACCAACTAACTGATGTCTGATCACCATGTCTATCGTCGTGATGTAGTCCTATCTGAACCAGCTTGTAATCACCAACTAATTGACCCCGATCACCATGTCTATCGTCGTGATGTGGTCCTATCTGAACCAGCTTGTAATCACCAACTAACTGATGTCTGATCACCATGTCTATCGTCGTGATGTAGTCCTATCTGAACCAGCTTGTAATCACCAACTAACTGACCCCGATCACCATGTATATCGTCGTGATGTAGTCCTATCTGAACCAGCTTGTAATCACCAACTAACTGACCCCGATCACCATGTCTATCGTCGTGATGTGGTCTTATCTGAACCAACTTGTAATCACCAACTAATTGACCCCGATCACCATGTCTGTCGTCGTGATGTAGTCCTATCTGAACCAGCTTGTAATCACCAACTAACTGATGTCTGTTCACCATGTCTATCGTCGTGATGTGGTCCTATCTGAACCAACTTGTAATCACCATCTAACTGATGTCTGATCACCATGTCTATCGTCGTGATGTAGTCCTATCTGAACCAGCTTGTAATCACCAACTAACTGACCCCGATCACCATGTCTATCGTCGTGATGTGGTCTTATCTGAACCAACTTGTAATCACCAACTAATTGACCCCGATCACCATGTCTATCGTCGTGATGTAGTCCTATCTGAACCAGCTTGTAATCACCAACTAACTGACCCCGATCACCATGTCTATCGTCGTGATGTGGTCCTATCTGAACCAGCTTGTAATCACCAACTAACTGACCCCGATCACCATGTCTATCGTCGTGATGTGGTCTTATCTGAACCAACTTGTAATCACCAACTAATTGACCCCGATCACCATGTCTGTCGTCGTGATGTAGTCCTATCTGAACCAGCTTGTAATCACCAACTAACTGATGTCTGTTCACCATGTCTATCGTCGTGATGTGGTCCTATCTGAACCAACTTGTAATCACCATCTAACTGATGTCTGATCACCATGTATATCGTCGTGATGTAGTCCTATCTGAACCAGCTTGTAATCACCAACTAACTGACCCCGATCACCATGTCTATCGTCGTGATGTGGTCTTATCTGAACCAACTTGTAATCACCAACTAATTGACCCCGATCACCATGTCTATCGTCGTGATGTAGTCCTATCTGAACCAGCTTGTAATCACCAACTAACTGACCCCGATCACCATGTCTATCGTCGTGATGTGGTCCTATCTGAACCAGCTTGTAATCACCAACTAACTGATGTCTGTTCACCATGTCTATCGTCGTGATGTGGTCCTATCTGAACCAACTTGTAATCACCATCTAACTGATGTCTGATCACCATGTCTATCGTCGTGATGTAGTCCTATCTGAACCAGCTTGTAATCACCAACTAACTGATCCCGATCACCATGTCTATCGTCGTGATGTAGTCCTATCTGAACCAGCTTGTAATCACCAACTAACTGATGTCTGATCACCATGTCTATCGTCGTGATGTAGTCCTATCTGAACCAGCTTGTAATCACCAACTAATTGACCCCGATCACCATGTCTATCGTCGTGATGTGGTCCTATCTGAACCAGCTTGTAATCACCAACTAACTGATGTCTGATCACCATGTCTATCGTCGTGATGTAGTCCTATCTGAACCAGCTTGTAATCACCAACTAACTGACGGCCTGATCAACATTAAATCGTCGAGGGTGGTCCCATCCCATCCAGCTTTTCTACCTTCTTGTCGTTTGGTTGAGGTTCATCTTGGTATTTGCGTCATCCACGTCGCCCGTCATGTAAATATTGGTTAATCCAAATAAGTAATATCTCGTTGCCAATGAGGACAACATTGTACAACAATTATACAAATTTAAATAAGACACAGTAGAGTCAACAATGAACAAAACTACATCAGCATCACACAGCTAGATTTGCTATGTAATGTTAGTGACGACATGTGATTTTGTCTTGGCATTGTGATGTTTTATTTCTTTACATTAACTTAAGTTGTTGATTATAGATAACTGTGCTGGAACGGTCGTCATCACATGACCACTTCCGCATTAGAGTCTAGATCTCCGTGACTATCGGTTTTTGACCTAAAGACAACATACATAATTGTAATCCATTATCCAGATCTACTGACTTAATGCATACATGGATATTTCAGGAATCGTTCAACCACTCAAAAAAAACAAAACACGGTTTAACGTATTGATATGTCTTAGGCTGAATACCTAATATAATCAATTTGTACATGTTTATATATAGAAAAATAGACAAGGATTAGTAAAAATACATCATTCTTCATCTTAATCTTAAAGAATGATTTTGCACCTGATAACCTGTATGATCAGGTCACCATGCTATTTTTTTAAAAGTCTGAAAATATGTTTATGCCATGCTTTTGCATTACATCCGGTAGTTGGTCGCTGTTTTCCCACGCATATCGTAATATACACGTGCTTACCACAAACTCGCCACATATACTTATGGTAATGCCGATCCCAGGGTGTCGTCGATTCCTTGGCTATATGATAGGTTGAGTAATTCACCCGTGTCAATCACATATACTTCCCACAGGGATCCACTCCATCATACATAGCTCAAATCACTCCTAATGTAGAAGCCATTTTTTACAATAATAATATTTTGATGTAGGTATGTAGGTACTTGATATTATGGGAGCTATGAGCTTTGTGACGGTTGGGCTGCTTTTGCTGCTGGCCGTTCGTAGTGTTCCTATATGGGGCCAGAAGCCATTAGAAGGGGCTATGATAGCCCCAGTGATGAGATCTGCCATGTGGGCATACCTAGGGAATGCTGCGTACGCCGATCAACTTTGGCAAGCCGTCAACCATGACTACTTCACCAGATTAAATTGTGGCGGACTCAGAGTAAGTAAATCTCAAGAATCCGTTTATGTTTGTTAATCAGTTGTCCATAATGAAACTCATGGATCGTTCATAACAGCGAAAAGGGAAGACAGTTGTAGACTCCATATAGATACATAGAGCCTATTACAGTTAGTGTAATGTTTCCTGAAAAGGCATCGATCTTTCGTTCTGTTTAATAATTCTTCACAATGGTCATCATCATGAATATTCATATTTCATTGCTTGAGGATATGTTTTTGGCTGTTCAAATACACAATTTTTCCTGTTGTGAGGTTCCCATTTATTGGTAGCAACATCTCTGCTTCCTATACCGATGTTATTTTCATGACATTAAATCTCATAAGCTTTGGATATAGCTTTCGAGGTGTTTGTGTGCTTTACGGTTAAGGACGAGGTGCTTTCTTAAACTACGGCCGGATACTTAATAGTAAAATTTAAGGTTTATTCACAAATAAGTACAAAAATCTGATTTTCTCATTGGGTAACTTGGATAATAACTTTTCCATGGCAGTAGGTCCCTTTTCTAGTGCACCATTCAAGTACAACTGGTCTTGTTGTGGTCAGTAAATGCTATATCCTGTCATACAAATTACAGTGTTGAGACTAGCATGTCTTTTTGTTATCTCATTTCCACATAACCAAGCTTCCAAAAATTGGGCTATCGTCCTATTAATATTGCCTTGTCTCCAATGTAGTAAACCAGGACAAATATATTCCAGGTTTTCCAATATCTTTACCCAATGAGATCATGATGACTGTTACCTTTGCTTATAGCCTCAATTTGCATCCCTTGAGCTCCTGTGCTGTAAGTGTTTTCTGTCAGTTGTCGACAAATATTACCAGGTTTGATGTCAGGAACTTGTACCAGCAAATAGTATGTGACGTAAACACCATAGTTTGAGGCAGTATCGTAATGAACTGTCAAAACATCGAATGTCCACGATAGAAATCACCACGATTATCTTACATCTAAGTGGAAAGAATTTACATCGGTAGATGTTCAATATATTCATATCTGTAAAGATATTTCAAAATGAAACTTGAAATTTGTTATGATGATAAATTGATAATTTTGCTTTTGTGATGAATTGGAAATGTTAGTAGTGTAAAGTTAAATGTTCGAAGAAGAGTCGGATCATAGGACCTTTAGGGATTTTCGAAGTTATATTGAAGTGAAATACTTTTACAGAGTTTATCAGCACAACGATGCACTAGGGATTCTGATTTACCATTGGGCTTGTTTTGTTGTTTGTTATGGAGCCTACCTCGACAAATCTACATAACATGTCACGATTTGATAAGAATGTTTGAATCATTTTCGAAGAAACTTCTTAGTTAACTTGAGGTAGTCAATTACATTCGACGCACATAGCCTTACAAGTGTTTGTCCTGCGGGCTCTAAATTCCAGCGGATGGCACCAAAGATATGTGGTGTATTTTGTGGCGACATGCCAACTTATTAGAACCTGTATGGGTTAGGTCTATTTAAAGTTACACTGATTTAAACTATTGAACGCCGTGATGACAATGTCATGTAGGAGTTATTCCTCGATACCATTTTACTGGAATTATATCACAACGGGGACAATAAACGATGGATTTCCATGACCTCCTTAACATACCACATTGCTATATAAAGTTATTAGGCCAGGTCGACAAGTTTGTGTTAAATTCTCGCCTGTTAATTGAGTGTCATTTATCATTTTATTATCAATAATCAGTTTATCATATATTAGTAGCATTTCAGTCAATTTCCAGTCCGGTATTATAGAACATTGTCGTCATCTTTGATACATCAGTTTATGTCATTCCAGTGTGCACGGAGATAATAATCTCCAGTTTCTATGTATCCTGCGGATCTACCTTGTATGCTCTTTCATTTTAGTTCTAAAACTCTTCACGTTTATATGAAATTTTATTTTATTGGTTTTGGCAATGGCCTTTGATGACACTGCACATATATAGTTTGTGAGAATTCTGAGCACAAGTGCCATCTTTTCGAAATTGACTTTATATGATCATCTTTACGTTGTAGCCTGTATAGAATATCTGTCAAGAGATATGTAGATTATATGAGTTTTGAACAACTGTTCTCTGTATTAATATGATATTAATATCTTAATGTACTAATGAAATCAATATTTTGTTTGTGTGTACCATTGTATCCATTAAAACTTGATACTTGATGGTCTTTATTTCTCAACCGATTTCTTCCAGACGACTGACTCAGATTACGAACAAAAGTGTAGTCCCTGTGGCGATGCCGCTAACTCTAACAGGCCAAATGAACACGGTGGAAAATACTCCATCGGCAAAGTGGTAGCAAGGTATCGCGAGAGCCAATATGTCAACGTCTCTGTGGACATCAGAAGTTTAAATCCAGGAGGCACATTCCAATTCTCACTGTGTGTAACGGATAAAACCACGAAAGTGTCTCATTCCTGTTTTCAACAACACATATTGCGCTGGCAAAATACACAAATCACACAGATACCTGCACCTCAACAGCAAGGTCTGGCGACATACACCCTGAAGCTGCCCACGGGAGTCATTTGTGAGAACTGTGTTGTACAATGGCTGTGGAGAGGTAATTTACAGTCGTAATTAAGTAAATAGGTCAGCGTTTCATTTCATACTTTCGAATAGAATTAGGTCGCCAAACACGGTTATGTATTCGAAAAAAAGTAGGTTAACGTACCTTATTACTTCCGAACTGAAGTAGGTCACTCCCAACCAAAAGTAGGTTGTCAATGGGGTTCAAATGTATGTATGATAAGATGGTTCCTCCGTAACCACACTTAATAGCTGTGGATATATCTTTCTTAGAAGACGATGACCCTATAATCTAAATTTTCGCATGGATATTATCGACACCATAATCGTTTATAGTTTATCATAGGAATGATTGTCAACATTGAACAATTCTGAAGCGTGTACACATCATATATAAAAAGATAAGGAAAAGTAAAATCTACAGAAATTGTCAACAGATGATCACTCAGTTAAGGATGTACACCTCTTAGATGTTTTGATAATTCCGGTATTAAGCTTTTTTTCTGACGATGAACTTTTGATAGGTTTGAATTTAGAAAGCAGGTTAAAAAAATAAAAATCAATATATTCCGAACTACTTTTTCCGGTACAGACATCAGAATATATGTAACAAGGGAAAATAATTTCATATATCATTCTATTTTTCCCTGAATAACAGACATTCTCTATTATTTTTACAATAAATTTTCGTCTTTCATTACAAGGAAAGGGTATACATGCCCCTTGATTATTAAGAAAACAATGGTGTGAAAATGATATGTTTTATCTGATTAAAGGAGATTTAATCTGCATAGAAACTAAAAAATGAAAATGTTCAAAATGACTTTATTCGTTTATTTGACAGTCTTTATAGTATTGAATAAAAATAATGCAAGATTTTATGTTTGGATAAGGATTTTACATGATTAAAAAGAAGTTGTCTCCCTGCTTTAATTTTTACAATTTTCACGCAAATACCCAGTATTTTGAAGGTCAAGAATAAAGCAGAAATAATATTATTTTTCAGGTCTTAAAAATCCGGGAAATTGATCTACCAATAAGGAGATAAAGAAATAGAAATTGGTGATTTGTGGTGATAATTCATGAAAAATGTAGTTGAAATCTACCCAAAACCTATAGATTTGTACTTAAAGAAAAGCCTGAATTAATTTAATCACGCCGTCGACAACAAATGTCCACAAACTAAACATTTTCAAAAGTCATAAAAATCGCCCTTTTGAGTTTGTAAGTACAACTATAGATAATGAAGTGTATAAGAACACAAAGACAAAAATGCTGGAATTCATTTTAAATCGAATTATGCCTTACTAATTCCGGTAAAACATCACAAGAATAATGCATCATCAAATAATGTTTAAGTGTGTATGGGTTAACTCCGCAGTGTTGATGATCCTTAAATGATTTATATTAATGCCACTTCCTGGCATTAACACACACCTTTTCGCGGTTGTGTAAAACATTAGAGTAATTTATATGATTGAAGTTGTGAGTATTAAATAACAGTAACAAGTGATCACTACCTATGATGCGTTTTACTGTAAAAGTGTTATGGCTTTAATCAGAAAATATTCAATTCTATATACAGTTTCTACTTAAGAACAGAGTAAAGCTTTTGATTATTGTTAACGCTTTCAGTTCATTTTCAATCAAAGCAAAAGGGAAATAGAAAAAACGAAACGATTATGGATCGGTTGTATTAATGTTTTTTTCATTCCATTTTACTATTTAATCCATTCCCGAATATAGTGAGAATAGAGCCCTCCAATATTATAGCTACAACAGTATATAAACTTCAGCATATAAGTTCCACCCCGATCTTGTGAGTACAGGTTGACTTTATCATTAAACATGTTCATCTAGTGTTGAAAATCACCAGATCACTAGTAGGAATTTTCACAATTCGACAAATGACATCTCAATCCTAAATACAATATCTATATGATCATAATTAGTATAGGAATTAAGTTGTAAATTGTCAAACATGTACCTTAGTTTCGATCCTATTTGCATTGCCTTTAATGAGTAACGGGACAATACAGATAAATATTTCTTAATGTCTGTTCAACTACCTAACTAGTACTAATTTATATTCCTATTTTGAGACTGAAATCTTGTTGCTCCCGTAAATTGTCATGTGATCAAACATTGTCATTTGTTACGTCAGAGTGGGTAGTTTTACACATGTAGCTAAGAATATAAAAGGATGTTTTGATACAACATAACTTGTTTGTGCATATTTCTTTAACATTATCGCAATGTTCCTTGATTAGAAAAGTAAAGTTAAAGTTACAATTTAAGATAACCCAGTCAACGGATTTTGAGCTAACTTCAACATTAAAACATCACCATTGCCTTTCGTTATATTTGCCTAAAATACTTTAAAACAAAATCGCCGAACTGCACTCATCATACGATATTTAAATGCATATACATTGTAGACGCTATAGTTGAGTGAAGAACACCCGATCTCTATGCTTTAGCATATATTGATCAATACCTTATTTAACATACATTTATATTGAATAGGATCAGGTTGTGATCAGTCTCTAATCACGTTCACATTTCTGTACAGATGGATCCTCCACATGCGACCCACCTGGTAGTAGCAACTGTGGCCAACAAACCGTAACCAATTGTGCTGACGTGCAGATCTTCAGTGCGGGGGTTCCTTTTCCAGATGGCTTTGATCATCCAAGGTATGATGCTTATTCAAGTATTTTCGATCCCATGGACACGGATGACCATGGTATTGGTATACACGTACCAAGATCCTCCCTTGATCTCGCGATAACACTGAGACCAAGTGCAACAACCCCATCTTCAATACCGTCGCTAGGGGGATCGATTCCCGGAATTTCACTGGTAGGTGGATCCATTCCCATTGTAAATCCAGGTGGTAATTCTTTTCCAGGCACATCGCCTGATAGTTCTATCCCTGTGATAACAGTGATACCAGATGGAACAACCTCGGCTAATTCTTCAACCAGTGATGATAGCGGTGAACCTCCAGAAACTTCGGAAAAGCTCGTGGAACCAGTTGGGGTGGTGTTGCCTGCTGTAGTAGGAACATCTAATGTACTCGCAGGAAATAACGGTATCGGCATAGCGTTGCTTCTATTCGCCTTGTACATGTATCTATCACAACAACAGCTGACACAAGGGGATGCGGTATTCGGACCATCAGCGCCACCTGGTATTTTCTCCACGCCTTTGACATATCAAAATTACATGAGCCCAACCACGTCGATCCCACAGTCAATAGTACCTAATGCACCAGTTTTCAATAGCGGTGGATTGCCAAATACACAAGTTTTGAACGGGGGAACTTTCTCGTTCCCGCAGTCATTTGCAGCTAACACACCAATTCAAAATATCGGTGTTTTGTCCAACACACAGGTTTTAAATAGTGGTACTATTCAGGGTCAACCTGGATTTGGAGGCCTGCCTTTTCCTTTCTCACAAAATAGTTTTTTCCTACCGGGATCCTTAAACACAGCGATTACTCCGTTGCCACAGTCTGGAGTTGGTGGTCCCAGTATGGATGTATTTCAACAGCCGTTCTCAAATACAAACACTGGTTTCACGTCCCTCCAAACGCCATTCGTTGATGGACGTGTTCCAACATTCAATCAACAACCATTTTGGGGCAACAGTTTGTTTGCGACACCAAATATCCCTGTAACTACCAATGGGTTCAACATGGCTTCTCAACAAATACTACAAAACAACAATGCATTCGCGACGATCCCAACACAGCGGTCCTTTGTCAACGGAATCTCACAATCGGGGGGAGCATTCCTGACACAGACGTCCCTCCAAACGCCATTTCAAAGTAGCCAAGATGTTGTTTTTCCTCAATTTGATCAGGAACCATCCACAATACGACGGAAAGAAAGAATGTATAATGGTAGCGACGAACTGGAGAGCTGTGAATGTCATGCGCGCATTTACCTACTGACAGTGTATTGTCACAAGCTGTCAACGGAGAAATGCCGAAAATATGACGCATGCTTCTGTAAACAAGAGAGACGACTTGTTCCAGCAACGATTAAGCAAGGACAGCGCACGCGCTCGTCCTTCAATACAAATCAAGAACAGAAAATGACGTCATCAGCACGTGGGAGTAACTTCCAGCGCCGTTTTCGTGCTTTCCCATCTAATAAACAAAACCAATAGCATAGGTAATGTCCTAGATGTCTGTGTGTGAGATATCTGATGTAATAATGATCTCTAGTTAAAACGATTTCTATCAAAATGAAATAAAAGGGGACGTTCTAAACGTTTGTCGTGTGTTGTAAAGTTAATATCGTATTAGATAACACTGAAAGTGATCGATCTGCTCATCGATCTGCTCATCGATCTGCAAAGTTTGAGGCTTAACTTTATTCGTTATGCATCTGACCAATCCTTATCACAGATAAAAATGCAGGCATTCGTACAAAGCGTGTTGTCATTTTTTATTTACTGCTTTCAATTATTGTGCTATACTGAGAGGAAAAAGAAACGCAATTAGGAATTTCCAGGTCAACTACGGGAAATAGAAAAGAGTTTTAGAATATAATTATGGTGTAACTGAAAGATAGTTGCCAACTCTGTCATCTACGAGAATTTCATTCGTGTACGTTAAGTAAACCTTTCAAATTTGACGTTGATTCAAGAGTACCCCACTCAAAATGAAGTGCATCTTTTGTGCCCCCGCGAGCTGCAGTAACTGCACGAACTCTTTTGATCGGGGTATTAACCCTCCTCATTGGTATATGTTTCCATTCCTCATCCAGCGCAAACTCATTTGAGCGACGCTGCTGTAGTAGAGGAACAACATGCGGCGCTACAACTTGATCTCTATGGCGGACGGCCGTGAGATTTCCCTGAATAACGACTAGAGGAGTCGTGATACCATGCGCAATCCCTCCCCATACCATGACCGATCCTCCTCCAAAGCGGTCATTCTCTATCACGCAAGTATCTGCATAGCGCTCGTGGGTACGTCTATAGACACGACGTCGGCCGTCTGCCCGGTAAAGTGAAAACTTGAACTCATCTGAGAACAGGACCCTTCTCTAACGTTGCATTGGGAAGCGTCTTACGGTTCGATGGATGGACTCCACGTTGATTAGTGACCTGATTTCGCGGGTTACCTTGCATAATAAGTGCAATGGCACGACCCCTGTCAACTTCGGACAGTCGTGGCATTTTTTACGGTGAACCGTTTATGCTTAAAATGTGGGAAATCAAGATTCGCACACACAGATTTTGAACCAATCCTTTATATTGGGTTCGAGATATCTGCTTTTGTCTCTTATTCTTTTGTACAAGCGGCCTGCGCAGTTTAGGTATGCATTAGTGATTTTAACACGGTACCATAGGGACCTAACTCAAATGCACACATTTGTCAAGTTTCAAGGGTGTATATCAAGGATTGATTTACAATGTTAAATTTCTGCTAATTGCCTTTCTTTTCCCTCTCAGTATATTTATCATGCAATTAGTTTCATTCTCGGTTTTTGTTCTAATCATTAGTAACAAAACAAGTCCTAAATAATCGTCACGTATACTGTCTTCGGCAAAACATGTGACCGGAAATAAGAACATCAAAAGTCCTAAATAATCGTCACGTATACTGTCTTCGGCAAAACATGTGACCGGAAATAAGAACATTAAAAGTCATAAATAATCGTCACGTATACTGTCTTCGGCAAAACATGTGACCGGAAATAAGAACATCAAAAGTCATAAATAATCGTCACGTATACTGTCTTCGGCAAAACATGTGACCGGAAATAAGAACATCAAAAGTCATAAATAATCGTCACGTATACTGTCTTCGGCAAAACATGTGACCGGAAATAAGAACATCAAAAGTCATAAATAATCGTCACGTATACTGTCTTCGGCAAAACATGTGACCGGAAATAAGAACATCAAAAGTCATAAATAATCGTCACGTATACTGTCTTCGGCAAAACATGTGACCGGAAATAAGAACATCAAAAGTCATAAATAATCGTCACGTATACTGTCTTCGGCAAAACATGTGACCGGAAATAAGAACATCAAAAGTCATAAATAATCGTCACGTATACTGTCTTCGGCAAAACATGTGACCGGAAATAAGAACATCAAAAGTCATAAATAATCGTCACGTATACTGTCTTCGGCAAAACATGTGACCGGAAATAAGAACATCAAAAGTCATAAATAATCGTCACGTATACTGTCTTCGGCAAAACATGTGACCGGAAATAAGAACATCAAAAATACTATATTGTCTACACATTTTTGTTTTAATCTAGGACAGATGTTATAAATTACCCGATATTTCACGGGTTTATTCTAGGACAGATGTTATAAATTACCCGATATTTCACGGGTTTATTCTAGGACAGATGTTATAAATTACCAGATATTTCACGGATTTATTCTAGGACAGATGTTATAAATTACCAGATATTTCACGGGTTTATTCTAGGACAGATGCTATAAATTACCCGATATTTCACGGGTTTATTCTAGGACAGATGCTATAAATTACCCGATATTTCACGGGTTTATTCTAGGACAGATGTTATAAATTACCCGATATTTCACGGGTTTATTCTAGGACAGATGCTATAAATTACCCGATATTTCACGGGTTTATTCTAGGACAGATGTTATAAATTACCCGATATTTCACGGGTTTATTCTAGGACAGATGCTATAAATTACCCGATATTTCACGGGTTTATTCTAGGACAGATGTTATAAATTACCAGATATTTCACGGGTTTATTCTAGGACAGATGCTTTAAATTACCCGATATTTCACGGGTTTATTCTAGGACAGATGCTATAAATTACCCGATATTTCACGGGTTTATTCTAGGACAGATGCTATAAATTACCCGATATTTCACGGGTTTATTCTAGGACAGATGTTATAAATTACCCGATATTTCACGGGTTTATTCTAGGACAGATGTTATAAATTACCCGATATTTCACGGGTTTATTCTAGGACAGATGTTATAAATTACCTGATATTTCACGGGTTTATTCTAGGACAGATGTTATAAATTACCCGATATTTCACGGGTTTATTCTAGGACAGATGTTATAAATTACCCGATATTTCACGGGTTTATTCTAGGACAGATGTTATAAATTACCCGATATTTCACGGGTTTATTCTAGGACAGATGTTATAAATTACCCGATATTTCACGGGTTTATTCTAGGACAGATGTTATAAATTACCAGATATTTCACGGGTTGATTCTGGAACAGATGTTATAAATTACCCGATATTTCACGGGTTTATTCTAGGACAGATGTTATAAATTACCCGATATTTCACGGGTTGATTCTAGAACAGATGTTATAAATTACCCGATATTTCACGGGTTGATTCTGGAACAGATGTTATAAATTACCCGATATTTCACGGGTTGATTCTGGAACAGATGTTATAAATTACCCGATATTTCACGGGTTGATTCTGGATGTTATAAATTACCCGATATTTCACGGGTTGATTCTGGAACAGATGTTATAAATTACCCGATATTTCACGTTATAAATTACCCGATATTTCACGGGTTGATTCTGGAACAGATGTTATAAATTACCCGATATTTCACGGGTTGATTCTGGAACAGATGTTATAAATTACCCGATATTTCACGGGTTTATTCTAGGACAGATGTTATAAATTACCCGATATTTCTCGGGTTGATTCTATTCTGGAACAGATGTTATAAATTACCCGATATTTCACGGGTTGATTCTGGAACAGATGTTATAAATTACCCGATATTTCACGGGTTGATTCTGGAACAGATGTTATAAATTACCCGATATTTCACGGGTTGATTCTGGAACAGATGTTATAAATTACCCGATATTTCACGGGTTGATTCTGGAACAGATGTTATAAATTACCCGATATTTCACGGGTTGATTCTGGAACAGATGTTATAAATTACCCGATATTTCACGGGTTGATTCTGGAACAGATGTTATAAATTACCCGATATTTCACGGGTTGATTCTGGAACAGATGCTATAAATTACCCGATATTTCACGGGTTTATTCTAGGACAGATGCTATAAATTACCCGATATTTCACGGGTTGATTCTAGGACAGATGTTATAAATTACCCGATATTTCACGGGTTTATTCTAGGACAGATGTTATAAATTACCCGATATTTCACGGGTTTATTCTAGGACAGATGCTATAAATTACCCGATATTTCACGGGTTTATTCTAGGACAGATGCTATAAATTACCCGATATTTCACGGGTTTATTCTAGGACAGATGTTATCAGTTTACGAATATTTTAGTTTTAGCTGAACCGGATCATGTAACGTTATCCAATATTTCACAAGTTTATCATATGGACAAAGCATATATAAAGATAAAGGCAAGAAAACACCTTAATGTAAGCAAGCTATTTCTAACGACAGCATCTTGTACCTTGCAAGATTTAAATTAGTTTTATTCCTGAGAGGCATTTGGAATACTAACGGCGAAACCAGCTAGGGCACGTTACGGAACAAATACATCCTTTATATATGTTATTTATACTATTCCGTCATGTTTTCGATAAGGCAAATAAATTAATAAAGAAACAATGTACAAACAGAACATTAGATGTGAAACATTTAATCTAGTTTATATTTCTACATATATTTACATATATAACATATTATATATATATTACAGATTAAGCACTCCATTAGTCATCTCCAATCTCAAACTTGGTGTCAACCAGGAAAGGAGTGCAATAGTAACAAAGACAAAAGAAATACAGATATGTACTCGTACTTAAACTATTACAGGATCGCTTTAATGTGTTCATATTTCTTAGGTTCAAACTAACTATCGCCGAACATCCATTTTTCATGCTGTTTTCGATTCTCTGGCAATACATAACCATAAAAGAGTGACAAACTTAAAATGATAATTAATGTTAATTAGTTCATTGATATAAACTTCAAATCTCGAAACAAATGGTTATTATGTGTTTGATAATCTTTGACATAATATTCAAATATTCAGATATCAAATCACCCGAATGACCCAAAAATAAATTCTGGGGAAATCCTTATCATGTTGCATATTGAAGGTTTGCTTAAAATTGTGCAAGGGGCTTTAGCCAAATCATAAACCGACCATAAAGCACATATTGCACTCAAACCTTGAATGTTTTAAATATTCATGACATATGGTTTAATTAGCAAATAGTTATAGTTGCTATTGTGATGAATGTTAGCAAATGTCCTTGATATGGATGCTGTTTTTTCATTCTGGTACCTTAGGTGTGATCCCGCCGCTGGGACAGACTATAAAAGGTTGGCCACCTTAAGAATCTCTGTATTGGGTCTCGCGAGATTCCTATATCTCATTCCAAAGTAGATATACTATATCACAAAATAACCCTTGCCTCTGAATTGTAAATTGCTGATTAAACAAGTTTCGCAACAGGAAATCATTAATATTTACATTACAAATGAAGTATATACAACAGAGATGGAATGTGAATACACATTTCAATGTAGAATGGTTCAAATATAAGGATATAAAATTCCAAACCTCCAAGGAAGAAGTCAACTTGAAGAACATATACTTCTGTGATACAAAAACAACAAAGAAAATTCAAACACAAATTCGACGAAGTTTGTACAAAAGACACACAAGTAAATAAGCACCTTTTAATTCAAATTTGGGCAAAACATCAAAAACAGAAAAACCTACAATGAGACTTCTTAAAAAGTGTAAGGTGAATAAGAATAGGTGTTCAGGAGAAGTAAGCGTCGTCTGCTTCCGCCATGTAAATCTTGCCACATTCCTAAATCAGAGCTTGGTGAATAACAACGGAACCGCCTGGTATATTATCGAGCACCAACGCCTCAAACACCTTCAACTTCCTATCGCAAACGATAAAGGAATATTTCTTGATGAGATCATTATGACAACCGTAAAATTTCCCCATACACTTCATCAATCTACATTTCTCGAACCTTTTCTGTGAACTTGACAGTTGCCGACACTTTTCACGAAATCGTGATACTGGGAACAGGTCATGAAATATTGAAGTTTGCCGCGCCATGTGAACACCATAGGTTCGGGATGCAGTGATGTTGGTTTCGAAAATGGAAAATTCGAAATTCACCCTTATCATTCAGCTTTGAAAAAAGGCTGTTCTTGTTACAAAACGTAAGCGGTTAATATAGAATATTCTGTCGAGATTTCACATATAAACGCATTTAGGATCAATTAGAAATAGGGGGGGGGGGGTGTTATAACTAGCTCCCTATTACAGGTTGATTATCGCGCTTAACATGCGGCCATTATCACATTAAAACATCCTGAAAGTCTGGAAATCTATTTTGTGATAAACAGAATCCACCAAGGAAGACGGAGACAACAGTGATGTTTCCCAAACAATAAAATGATAGAGGGTGGTTATAAACTGCGACGTCATAACTTGTAGATCTACAATTCATAGCAAACCGTTAAAAGGGAGTTAACTCATAAATTATATTGTTTTTAGCAGAAAGTTGACTTATCAATGCAGTTGATGGATAGAATGAAATTACCAGACATTAATATCAGTTCGAGTGGCTAAAGAACAAACTGACAAAGCAAATAAGTACTAAACAGATCCGTCAAGGTTAATGGCAGAGACATAACTTTATATATGATATATATATATATGTTTATATGCAAAACACAATAACCGGTTTAACAATGTAACGGGACTTTGACCTTAAAGATGTTACTAGTTTACATCATCACTGAAGTAATAATCACACGATTCAACAATTATATAGATTACATGAGGTATACGTCTCGTAAAAAATATACAAAAATAAAAGTTGTGATTTCTTTTAAAATTTGAAAATAAAAAAAATCAAATCTCGATATGAATCAAGCTAAGAAAAAAAACTGAAAGTTATACATATGAAAGAGATGACATTATCTCTTCAATATATATTACAACATAAGTTACACGTGACTCATGTAAGCATATTCTATCATTCTCTATACATTTCAATATAAAAATGGTTTTAAAACGAACATAAAGTAAGGCGTATTTGTTAAATGTGATAATGATCAATATTTTTGCTTATCAATCAGTTTCTGCCATTTAATGAAAATTCAAAAAATAAAAAAAAAAATCCTGTTAAATATTTTCATAGCTGCGTTAGCAAAGAAGTTGTATTTGGTTTTTTAAAAGAAGCGAAAACTTTGGGAAACTACAATCATTAAATATGTAAAGAGATTCATATCTTTATCAGTATTAAAGAAAGTTCATTTCTTGTAACAATGATAAACAAATTCCAAGACGATTTTTCAAGGAAAAAAAGTTATAAACATATACACATTTTTGAAATATGTGAATTACTGATATTTTTCAGAACTTTATTTTACGGCATACTTCATACTTATACCTCATTTTCAATCATTTTTCAAAAGAGCACTGCCTATTTTGTGTTTATCAGCACGAATTTTTCCGCATCATCTTCGTACAGACACTGATCACCACACACCACACTTCTTGTTTGGATTCATGTAACTGCCTTTAGGGCAATTGAACGCTGCAGCAAACTCGGGAGAATTTTGCAACGTTCCTACGACCCTGAAAGTTTAAACAAATGTTTGGTTACTTTACAGAGTACTACAGAAACGCGATGGAATATACAGTACGGAAATTACAATCAATCGAAATTAATATATTATCCAAATAAAATATATCATTTCAAGGACAGACCTAAAGCGCCCAGGACTGTGTACGCCGGCGAGGATTCTGTTGATTGCGTTTTCTCTGCGCATGTTAGAGCACCAGATCTACAAAAACAACAACTTCGACATGTCATCTTAATCGAATCTTGAATCAAACTCTAATCCTTTTCTTTTTAACTAGAGCGAAATATGAACAAAAATATGATAGATATTCACACTGAGACACTTTAAAAATATAACGATTTTTTTCTTTTGCTTCATCGACGACACCAGCCGCGTATTTTAACAACAATAATTAAAATAGACATATCTGTTTGCACATGCTTCTTACTTAAAAAGATTTTTAATATTACCATTTTATTAACGATTTAGGGTCTACAAAAAAGATAATCAGTTTCAATATACTATAGGGCGATTTTTCTTTAACGAATCATCCTATCACGTGAAAGACAGTGCAGAAATTGTGTTTAAGCATTCCAATTATTTCTTACATAAGGTATGACATCATAGAAACAAAACCAGGCTAACAGATGTCGCATGTAGATATATAGAAATTAAAGCGTAACATTCACTTTCTGAATTAAAGAAACATTCATTAGGTATTTAATAGTTTTTATCATTTCGATTGAAATTAAATTGCCACTGCATTTATGACGCAAACACCTGACCTTGTAGAACTTATTTGCTTGACGGTCCTTAGAGAACTTAATTTTCAATTTAATGACATTGGTGTCATGGTATTTGTATTTGACCATTTTACCTGTGCAAAGTTAATGAAGAAAATCTGGTTATGGTTGTAACTGACGCCAGGTAGAAGTGATTCTTCTTTTCCTCTCTCACTGACCCAGTCTCTGTAAGCCTACGATTGATTATAACGTTAGAAATCAGTACATTGTATGTATTACAGAATGTCACTGACCCAGTCTCTGTAAGTCTACGACACAGAATGTCACTGACCCAGTCTCTGTAAGCCTACGATACAGAATGTCACTGACACAGTGTCTGTAAGCCTACGATACAGAATGTCACTGACACAGTGTCTGTAAGCCTACGATACAGAATGTCACTGACCCAGTCTCTGTAAGCCTACGATACAGAATGTCACTGACCCAGTCTCTGTAAGCCTACGATACAGAATGTCACTGACCCAGTCTCTGTAAGCCTACGATACAGAATGTCACTGACACAGTGTCTGTAAGCCTACGATACAGAATGTCACTGACCCAGTCTCTGTAAGTCTACGACACAGAATGTCACTGACCCAGTCTCTGTAAGCCTACGACACAGAATGTCACTGACCCAGTCTCTGTAAGCCTACGACACAGAATGTCACTGACACAGTCTCTGTAAGTCTACGATACAGAATGTCACTGACACAGTCTCTGTAAGTCTACGATACAGAATGTCACTGACCCAGTCTCTGTAAGCCTACGATACAGAATGTCACTGACACAGTCTCTGTAAGCCTACGATACAGAATGTCACTGACCCAGTCTCTGTAAGCCTACGACACAGAATGTCACTGACACAGTCTCTGTAAGCCTACGATACAGAATGTCACTGACCCAGTCTCTGTGAGCCTACAGAATGTCACTGACACAGTGTCTGTAAGCCTACGATACAGAATGTCACTGACCCAGTCTCTGTAAGCCTACGATTGATTATAACGTTATAAATCAGTACATTGTATGTATTACAGAACGTCACGCATATCCTATTCTCACTCACCATACCTTATCATGTCCATTGACATCCTGTAGAAACAATCATCGCGATTATGTGTGAATAACAACAAGCAAATTTCTAATACAACGAGTTTTGCAGGATTTTTTTGTTCGGGCGAGTAAAGAACTATTTTCAAAATGTACTGATGTGGTTTTCCGATAAATGTATTAATACATATATTTATATTAATATGATATTTTCATAAATGTATTGATATGATATTATAAAACGATATTTTGATAAACATATTGATATATTTCTATAAATATTATAAAATATGATAATTCGATGAATGTTTTGCTATGATTCCTTATATATGTATTGATATCATATTCTGATAAATAAACTTCAAACTTTAATGTTTTTCTGAATCTGTGTAATAACTCCAACAGAGACTCATTATAGTGTGTAGATATATAGATGTGTTACTGAAGTAGATGTGAAGTCGACTAACCCCATAAGATACAGTTGTACAACGTAGATGTAGCAGAGCTGACAACAAAGATAGCGACATATACACCAAACTGTACCTTTAACGTAGAATGAATGTTGGATATATTGATTCATGACTACCCCTACACTTTGTGAAACATTTCTACAAAATAGGATAAATCACATTACTCTGTAGCTCTGTTTAAGACCGCCATTGTCAGCAATATTCTCTCCTTGGGTATTGATGCCATTCAGCTGAAATAAAAACACGGTCGAGCATCAACAGGTGTTTGTTAAAATATTACTCCCGTAAACTTGTGTAAGAAACATACCTAATGATAAAATGAAGTTCAACTGACTACATTAAATGGTAGTTTTGTTCTTTTCTGCCTTGTTGAGGTCGTGCAGGGGAAGACAACGAAATACCCGAATAGAGCATTTTGAAGCAAATTGTGATTACAACAGAAAACACCCGTGCCGAATTAATTTCATTTTACAGAATTGGTTAACTTTGAGAGCTGTTATTGGAGAGACCTGATAAGTAATTCCCTCGCTCTCCATTGATCAGATATTCCGATCCTGATGTTAATGGTATGTATACTGTATCACTGATGTTCCAGGGAATAACAATTTTGCGTTGTGCCTTTTGTTTTGATAATTCGTGGTTCCATAATAAATCCACGATCACATGTAGGCTACTTGCCCATACACAAACGTTCTTTCTACTGTGAATACTCATTTTTGAAGTGATATACATTGTGGAAAATATCTTACATTCATTCCGTCCGCTTCTGGAAGTGAAAAGTTTCCATACTGGTCCACGATACACTGAGCTTTGACCTTGAACTGTGTGATGGCTTCATCTGACCACCATTGTTCGAGGTTGCCATCCTTGTCGTACTGTCGCCCTGTGTAGTAATTACAACATTAACAGTGTTCACTTTTATTGTGTTTGTGGTGTAATATAAAGTCGAGAGATTAGGAGCAAACATACTCAATATCACACAGCAGATCTACCAGTTTTACTTAAGATAATTAATACCTCATAATCAATGTGTCTATATTATAATCAACATCACACACTAGAAGAAGTTTTATTTTACATACTTATTACCTATAATCGTTATCTAAGTTTTATATAAGAAATAAAGGCAAGAAGTTAAATAACCAAATACATATTTCATATCATCAACATGTGCACCAAATGTGTGACCATAACATCTTTAAACGTCAATAAAAATCAGTATCATCAACATATGTGTATGGGATTATACCATCAACAAGTGTACACGGGGTTATACCGTCAACAAGTGTACACAGGGTTATACCGTCAACAAGTGTACACAGGGTTATACCATCAACAAGTGTACACGGGGTTATACCATCAACAAGTGTACACAGGGTTATACCATCAACAAGTGTACACAGGGTTATACCATCAACAAGTGTACACGGGGTTATACCATCAACAAGTGTACACAGGGTTATACCATCAACAAGTGTACACAGGGTTATACCATCAACAAGTGTACACAGGGTTATACCATCAACAAGTGTACACGGGATTATACCATCAACAAGTGTACACAGGGTTATACCATCAACAAGTGTACACAGGGTTATACCATCAACAAGTGTACACAGGGTTATACCATCAACAAGTGTACACAGGGTTATACCATCAACAAGTGTACACGGGGTTATACCATCAACAAGTGTACACGGGGTTATACCATCAACAAGTGTACACAGGGTTATACCATCAACAAGTGTACACAGGGTTATACCATCAACAAGTGTACACAGGGTTATTATACCATCAACAAGTGTACACAGGGTTATACCATCAACAAGTGTACACGGGGTTATACCATCAACAAGTGTACACGGGGTTATACCATCAACAAGTGTACACGGGGTTATACCATCAACAAGTGTACACGGGGTTACAAGTGTACACGGGGTTATACCATCAACAAGTGTACACGGGGTTATATCATCAACAAGTGTACACGGGGTTATATCATCAACAAGTGTACACGGGGTTATATCATCAACAAGTGTACACGGGGTTATATCATCAACAAGTGTACACGGGGTTATATCATCAACAAGTGTACACGGGGTTATATCATCAACAAGTGTACACGGGGTTATACCATCAACAAGTGTACACAGGGTTATACCATCAACAAGTGTACACGGGGTTATACCATCAACAAGTGTACACAGGGTTATACCATCAACAAGTGTACACAGGGTTATACCATCAACAAGTGTACACAGGGTTATACCATCAACAAGTGTACACGGGGTTATACCATCAACAAGTGTACACGGGGTTATACCATCAACAAGTGTACACGGGGTTATACCATCAACAAGTGTACACGGGATTATACCATCAACAAGTGTACACAGGGTTATACCATCAACAAGTGTACACGGGGTTATACCATCAACAAGTGTACACAGGGTTATACCATTGTACACGGGGTTATACCATTAACAAGTGTACACGGGGTTATACCATTAACACGGGATTATACCATCAACAAGTGTACACAGGGTTATACCGTCAACAAGTGTACACAGGGTTATACCATTAACAAGTGTACACGGGGTTATACCATCAACAAGTGTACACGGGGTTATACCATTTACAAGTGTACACGAGGTTATACCATTAACACGGGGTTATACCATTAACAAGTGTACACGGGGTTATACCATTAACACGGGGTTATATCATCAACAAGTGTACACGGGGTTATACCATTAACAAGTGTACACGGGGTTATACCATTAACACGGGGTTATACCATCAACAAGTGTACACGGGGTTATACCATCAACAAGTGTACACGGGGTTATACCATCAACAAGTGTACACGGGGTTATACCATCAACAAGTGTACACGGGGTTATACCATCAACAAGTGTACACGGGGTTATACCATTAACAAGTGTACACGGGGTTATACCATCAACAAGTGTACACAGGGTTATACCATTAACAAGTGTACACGGGGTTATACCATCAACAAGTGTACACGGGGTTATACCATTTACAAGTGTACACGAGGTTATACCATTAACAAGTGTACACGTAGTTATACCATTAACAAGTGTACACGAGGTTATACTACTTATGTTATACACTGATTAAATCACTTTATTTTACGGTGTTAATGAACATCAGTACAAGGCAGAATGTGTATACTACCTCTGTCATCGAAGCCGTGTGTAATCTCGTGCCCGATAACGACTCCTATACCACCGTAATTCATAGACCTATCAAGTAAACAAACAAACACTAAAGTAAACAAACAATAAAGTAAACAAACAATAAAGTAAGCAAACAATAAAGTAAACAAACAATAAAGTAAGCAAACAATAAAGTAAGCAAACAATCAAGTAAAAAAGCACGAACCCATTAAGATAAAATTCTTACTCATAAATGAGATCAAAATATCAAGAAATAGCATTTAAAACAAATTCATACAACAGGAGGGGAGATAACTCTGATATAAAGGCAAGTACAATTAGAAATTAAGTTATTCTGTGATAAAGTCTGATCAGGTGTGTAACGCTGATATAAAGTCTATAAAGTGATTCACTGATGTTGTAGTAATTAAATACTCATTGTCTGGTCCTTAGTTGTGTATCGCGTCAGGCGATGTCACGGGTTATAAAGAATTTTACCGGTGTGACGTCATCGCTGAAATTCTAAGAAACGTTAAGTTCTCTCACTAATATAAACGATGTTTGCATTAAGAGGTAAAGAAGGCCGAGAAGTTTGTATGTATGATAGAACGTAAAAATAAGCATCGTTAAAGTGTCGCTTTAGGCGATATTCAGCTTACTGTCTGTACCTGAAAGAAATTAATTGCTATACTTTCATATTACGCATGTGCAAGATTGTATCTATATATATATATATATATATATATTCATAATTGTACAAAAGACACACAAGTTATTTACATCTTTCTAACAATTTTTGTATGAGTTCATGTGCTGTTTCGGTCCCTCGGCGTACGTCACATCCGGGGCTACATTCATGATATTTGGTTTGGAATTTGGAATATATTTCAAGCACAGTAAAACATAGTGCCTGATATTTCAGTAGTTTTTTTGTGGACTTATACTCTGAAAATAAGTTCTTATTTCAATCATCGTGAGTTCAGACCTCTTCATTAGTTTTTATTTTAAAACTTCTTGTTTGTTTCATCCTTCCTGACTTTTTTTTCTGAAATATTTGAACGTTTTTTTGGTCTGATTTCTAAGTTGTAATGCTCTCTTATAACTGTATTTTATAATCTCATAACTGTTATACAGTTTTGACATTTTGTTTTTAATCTTTTTTTTTTGTTCTGTAAAGTTATTGATTTCGAGCCTGTTTGATAATTTCAGATAGCCTTGGCCTATGTCTACCCTTTTCCCTTTCTTGTCTCGGTCATATTATAACGCTTGTATTCTGTGTAGAAGTATTTGTCTTCGAGTTCGGTTTTGATACTTTCTGCTCAATGTTTGGAGTTGTTTTTCCATTTTGAAGTTTCTGTGCTTCTTTTGTATCTCTCGTATGTTGTTCATTTCCTATATTTCGACTGAGTTTAATTTCAATTACCCGATTTATTGCTTTCCATACTAAAAGCCCTTAGCGTCAAGGTCGAGTCACTGTATACGGAAGACGAACTTGTTCATTGTGAGGCTACGTCACTTTGTACATTTCTGGAAGAATTCGCATTATTCTATGGTATGTCTCATGATTTATTTCAAATTTAGTGAATGTTGTTTACTTTACCATTTTATAATGTCTGCCCTATTTCTTAGTACCAGCGAAGCACGCGATCACTGTATACCTATTTTGCATTATAACGATATTTTGGAAAGCTCTGAGATAGGAGAAAAATGTATTAATTTGCTGTTATGATAACTAGTGTTTGTGCTGTAGGCCTGACGTGTTACTATCAGGGAGAGTGATTACTTCTCACGTCACTGGGTACTTTATCTCTGGGCTGACCTCAGCACACAGTAACGGTTCGTTTCGATCTGATATGGCACCCATTTCTTGAATACCATTCAGTTAATTAGGCCGAGATAACATGTCTATATAATATCTGATGCGCTGTGACCCGTAGGGCGGAAAATGTTTGTTTGACTCAACGAACCTACCAAACCAAACCCTTTAGTTTAAAGTACCAGGAACTAACCTGGCTCTGTCATTTCAATGAAATTTTAAAGTTTTTCTTTTAGGTATGATATTTAAAGATTTATTTTTACCTTGCAAAAAAAGCCCCAGTAAATAAGATATGTAAAAGGAACAACTAATAAATCTCTGGTGATAACTTAAGTGGCAGTGCTGACCTCTCTAACAGGACACATGCTTTAGTCAGTAGTACACCTCTGTATCCATCTTCTGGCATTGATTTTAGCCAACTTTCATTAGTCGCCTCCTAACATATCACTTCCCATATATCTTTGATAAGTCAAAAATTATGGAACAGCTGTATGATGGAGTTTAATTCATCATTTAGGTCCCTAGAACTAGAACCACTGACGAGACCTAGAATGATGGAACAGCTGTATGATGGAGTTTAATTCATTATTCAGGTCCCTAGAACTAGAACCACTGACGAGACCTAGAATGATGGAACAGCTGTATGATGTAACATCACTGACGAGACCTTGAATGATGGAACAGCTGTATGATGTAACATCACTGACGAGACCTAGAATGATGGAACAGCTGTATGATGGAGTTTAATTCATTATTCAGGTCCCTAGAACTAGAATCACTGACGAGACCTAGAATGACGGAACAGCTGTATAATGTAACATCACTGACGAGACCTTGAATGATGGAACAGCTGTATGATGTAACATCACTGACGAGACCTAGAATGATGGAACAGCTGTATGATGTAACATCACTGACGAGACCTAGAATGATGGAACAGCTGTATGATGGAGTTTAATTCATCACTGACGAGACCTAGAATGATGGAACAGCTGTATGATGTAACATCACTGACGAGACCTAGAATGACGGAACAGCTGTATGATGTAACATCACTGACGAGACCTAGAATGATGGAACAGCTGTATGATGTAACATCACTGACGAGACCTAGAATGATGGAACAGCTGTATGATGTAACATCACTGACGAGACCTAGAATGATGGAACAGCTGTATGATGGATTTTAATTCATTATTTAGGTCCCTAGGACTAGAATCACTGACGAGACCTAGAATGACGGAACAGCTGTATGATGTAACATCACTGACGAGACCTAGAATGATGGAACAGCTGTATGATGTAACATCACTGACGAGACCTAGAATGATGGAACAGCTGTATGATGGATTTTAATTCATTATTTAGGTCCCTAGGACTAGAATCACTGACGAGACCTAGAATGATGGAACAGCTGTATGATGGAGTTTAATTCATTATTCAGGTCCCTAGAACTAGAATCACTGACGAGACCTAGAATGACGGAACAGCTGTAATGATGGAACAGCTGTATGATGGAGTTTAATTCATTATTTAGGTCCCTAGGACTAGAATCACTGACGAGACCTAGAATGACGGAACAGCTGTATGATGTAACATCACTGACGAGACCTAGAATGATGGAACAGCTGTATGACGTAACATCACTGACGAGACCTAGAATGATGGAACAGCTGTATGATGTAACATCACTGACGAGACCTAGAATGATGGAACAGCTGTATGATGGAGTTTAATTCATTATTTAGGTCCTTAGGACTAGAATCACTGGCGAGACCTAGAATGATGGAACAGCTGTATGATGGAGTTTAATTCATTATTGACTATATTGTGTTCAAGTCTGTGAGGTGCAAATTTCATATATTTTCATATATGTTTTGTAGTATTGTAGTGTGTAATGAATGAATGATAGTATACCACAACTGATGCTAACATTTTACAAGTTTAGGCATCTCTTACGTCTTTTATCACTATCATACAGTAAAGTCATACTGGAGAACCAATTAGAATTACATTTTATCAGAAAATATTACAACACTGTTCTATAGCTACTTAGCCCTCCAGCGGATATTAGTTTTTCGATAACAACCTATTTTTACTAACTTTATGTTTCAAAGCAATTTTATCTGAAAAAAAAACATGTGCTACATGTAAATGGAATGTTATCAAAAATTGTTTACATACTTTGGTTGCGATTTTCCGTAAAATGGCGGCTGCAGGATCCCAGCTGGAAACACTAAGATAAAAAAGGGAAGACAATGCTGTAAAGATTTAAAGTCGGTACTTGTAGCCAGAAATGACCTACTTTGAGTTTGTCATCATCACCAGCATAGTAGATGTTTCTGGTGTTTATCTAAAGAACGTGGCCGGGCCAAGTGTAATAAGTCTATAACGTATTATAAAATGTACTCCTAGCGCCAGAGCGAAGTGAATAAATCGACTGCGCCATATCTATCTTGATGTTAAATATAAGTATTTCAGATATCAAAAATTTGTTAAAATTCTCCAACAGGGAGTTTTTCTGTTCTAGCTATCTGAAAATGTAAGTATCAGGAAAAAGGGCTAATGAAAGTGACTTATTGTGAGTACAGCTAGTTGAGGTGACTTATTGTGAGTACAGCTAGTTGAGGTGACTTATTGTGAGTACAGCTAGTTGAGGTGACTTATTGTGAGTACAGCTAGTTGAGGTGATTTATTGTGAGTACAGCTAGTTGAGGTGACTTATTGTAAGTACAGCTAGTTGAGGTGACTTATTGTGAGTACACCTAGTTGAGGTGACTTATTGTGAGTACAGCTAGTTGAGGTGACTTATTGTGAGTACAGCTAGTTGAAGTGACTTATTGTGAGTACAGCTAGTTGAAGTGACCTATTGCAAGTACAGCTAGTTAAAGTGACTTATTGTGAGTACAGCTAGTTGAAGTGACCTATTGTGAGTACAGCTAGTTGAAGTGACTTATTGTGAGTACAGCTAGTTGAAGTGACCTATTGCAAGTACAGCGAGTTAAAGTAACTTATTGTGAGTACAGCAAGTTGAAGTAACTTATTGTGAGTACAGCTACTTGAAGTAACTCATTGTGAGTACAGCTAGTTGATGTGACTTATTGTGAGTATACCTAGTTGATGTGACTTCTTGTGAGTACAGCTACTTGAAGTAACTTATTGTAAGTACAGCTAGTTACAGGTGATTAGTTGAGGTGACTTATTGTGACACAGCTAGTTGAAAGACTTATTGTGAGTACAGCTAGTTGATGTGACTTATTGTGAGTACAGCTAGTTGAAGTAACTTATTGTGATAACGTATTATAAAATGTGCTACTAGAAGTAACTGATTGTGAGTACAGCTATGTTGATGTGATATCAAAAATTTGTTAAAATTCTCCAACAGCTAGTTGATGTGACTTATTGTGAAGTATTATTGTGAGCTACTTGAAGTGACTTATTGTGAGTACAGCTAGTTGAGGTGACTTATTGTGAGTACAGCTAGTTGAGGTGACTTATTGTGAGTACAGCTAGTTGAGGTGATTTATTGTGAGTACAGCTAGTTGAGGTGACTTATTGTGAGTACAGCTAGTTGAGGTGACTTATTGTGAGTACAGCTAGTTGAGGTGACTCATTGTAAGTACAGCTAGTTGAGGTGACTTATTGTGAGTACAGCTGGTTGAAGTGACATATTGTGAGTACAGCTAGTTGATGTGATTTATTGTGAGTACAGCTAGTTGAGGTGACTTATTGTGAGTACAGCTAGTTGAAGTGACTTATTGTGAGTACAGCTAGTTGAAGTGACCTATTGCAAGTACAGCTAGTTAAAGTGACTTATTGTGAGTACAGCTAGTTGAAGTGACATATTGTGAGTACAGCTAGTTGATGTGACCTATTGTAAGTACAGCTAGTTGAAGTGACATATTGTGAGTACAGCTAGTTGAAGCGACATATTGTGAGTACAGCTAGTTGACGCGATATATTGTGAGTACAGCTAGTTGATGTGACGTATTGTGAGTACAGCTAGTTAAAGTGACCTATTGTGAGTACAGCTAGTTGATGTGACTTATTGTGAGTACAGCTAGTTGAGGTGACTTATTGTGAGTACAGCTAGTTGAGATGACTTATTGTGAGTACAGCTAGTTGAGGTGACTTATTGTGAGTACAGCTAGTTGATGTGACTTATTGTGAGTACAGCTAGTTGAAGTAACTTATTGTGAGTACAGCTACTTGAAGTAACTTATTGTGAGTACAGCTAGTTGATGTGACTTATTGTGAGTACAGCTAGTTGATGTGACTTATTGTGAGTACAGCTAGTTGAGGTTACTTATTGTGAGTACAGCTAGTTGATGTGACTTATTGTGAGTACAGCTAGTTGATGTGACTTATTGTGAGTACAGCTAGTTGAGGTGACTTATTGTGAGTACAGCTAGTTGAGGTGACTTATTGTGAGTACAGCTACTTGAAGTAACTTATTGTGAGTACAGCTACTTGAAGTAACTTATTGTGAGTACAGCTAGTTGAGGTGACTTATTGTGAGTACAGCTAGTTGAGGTGACTTATTGTGAGTACAGCTACTTGAAGTGACTTATTGTGAGTACAGCTAGTTGAAGCGACATATTGTGAGTACAGCTAGTTGAGGTGACCTATTGTGAGTACAGCTAGTTGAAGTGACCTATTGTGAGTAAAGCTGGTTGAAGCGACATATTGTGAGTACAGCTAGTTGATGTGACCTATTGTAAGTACAGCTAGTTGAAGTGACATATTGTGAGTACAGCTGGTTGAAGTGACATATTGTGAGTACAGCTAGTTGAAATGACATATTGTGAGTACAGCTAGTTAAAGTGACCTATTGTGAGTACAGTTAGTTGAAGTAACTTATTGTGAGTACAGCTAGTTAAAGTGACCTATTGTGAGTACAGCTAGTTGATGTGACTTATTGTGAGTACAGCTAGTTGATGTGACGTATTGTGAGTACAGCTAGTTAAAGTGACCTATTGTGAGTACAGTTAGTTGAAGTAACTTAATGTGAGTACAGCTAGTTAAAGTGACCTATTGTGAGTACAGCTAGGTGAAGTGACCTATTATGAGTACAGCTGGTTGAAGTAACTTATTGTGAGTACAGCTAGTTGAAGTGACCTATTGTGAGTACAGCTAGTTGAAGTGACCTATTGTAAGTACAGCTAATTGAAGTGACCTTTTGTGAGTACAGCTGGTTGAAGTGACCTATTGTGAGTACAGCTGGTTGAAATGACATATTGTGAGTACAGCTGGTTGAAATGACATATTGTGAGTACAGCTGGTTGAAGTGACCTATTGTGAGTACAGCTAGTTGATGTGACTTATTGTGAGTACAGCTAGTTGATGTGACGTATTGTGAGTACAGCTAGTTAAAGTGACCTATTGTGAGTACAGTTAGTTGAAGTAACTTAATGTGAGTACAGCTAGTTAAAGTGACCTATTGTGAGTACAGCTAGTTGAAGTGACCTATTGTGAGTACAGCTAGTCGAAGTGACCTATTGTAAGTACAGCTAATTGAAGTGACCTTTTGTGAGTACAGCTGGTTGAAGTGACCTATTGTGAGTACAGCTGGTTGAAGTGACATATTGTGAGTACAGCTGGTTGAAATGACATATTGTGAGTACAGCTGGTTGAAGTGACCTATTGTGAGTACAGCTGGTTGAAGTGACCTATTGTGAGTACAGCTAGTTGAAGTGACCTATTGTGGGTACAGCTAGTTGAAGTAGATTAATACAAAAATAAGGCGAGACTAGATAGGAATGCGATATTACGTTCCGTCTCGTCTTCTAGCCAGGAGTAAACACCGGTTGATAACAACACCCATGTACAGTAATATGCGTGCGCAAACCAGGTTACGTACTTGCATATTACTGAGTATTTGTGCATTGAACCATGTCGGACAATCTTTATCGTTTCAAAATAAATACGATAGAAAGGTATATAAATATGTACTAAAAATGTGCGAAATCCCGTACCCTCACTTTATCGTTAATCTTTGGTACTCCAAGGGCTACGATCACTTTCGCTCTCTACAACCCTGGAACATGTCATGGCAAAACTGAAGGTTCCATGTGCGACACCTTGTGGACAAGACGGAGAAACTCGTTTGATCCTTTGATGTACATCAGACGAATTTCGTGGTCGCATAACGGCTTACTATAATAGTAATTGGGTGTCGCTCGTTCGTAATCTTCAAAAGGGCCATATCAGCCTATGATTGGTCAGTTTTTTTCCTGGAACCAATCAAATTACTTCGCTTGTGCCTTCAATTTCGCCATGACATGTTCCAGGGGCGAGAGTGTGTGTGAAAGTGATAGTAGCCACTGGAGTATGAGGATGTCTATTGTATTATGTAACTTTTCTCTGCTCAAATATAGTTGGTGATGCTGTTGTGATAGTGACTGCATCTGTCCGTACATGGGGGGACAGACGATCAAATGTAATCAACCGGCTGTCCTTCACGTTGATTTTAAAAAACTTCAACTTAATAATGAAAGTGACATGTGCATGGCTTGGGAGGAATCTTGCATGCGGAAAAAAACATCGTGTGGTCTGGAAAGTCGCCCAATTATTTTCCACATTTGATGATGGATTTGAAACCTTTATTCACAAACAAAATATTACGCTATCTACTTCTTCATCCATGGAGTTTATGAAACGACGCAATGCGGATCTGTAGAAGTGTTGGCGATACTTACTTATTCTGTTTAGGACTGAGTTATAATAAGCGTTCACAGTGGCCGGAGCTGTCGTCCACCTGTCCGAAACAGTACAGAAAGAGAAAGTGGCACCCATACTTCTCCACAACACATATCACATAACTCATAAACACTACATCACAGATTATCCCACAATATTGATCATATCCACTGGAAGGGAGCATGTGTTTGTGTAAGTATATTCTACAATTTCATATTTTCCAATCTCGACATGAAAAGGTACCTTTTCGAATTTAGATTCTGCGTAAATGTTGTTCCAAAGAAAAGCATGAACTTATTATCTTTCTTATTTTTCTTTATGAATTGCAAATAAACATTACTTCATAAAACACGCCATACTCACCAGGTCTTGTCAACAGCCGTGCGCAACAATCTCACGCTATCGATAGAAATTCTGTTGATGATCCCGAGCACGTTTTCAAAGTATTCGCCTGCCTGTACTGTGTACTGTTGGACACAAACCACAATATCACCATCATTGCATTGTCCGACTGTCATCATCTCACTTCTTTTTCACAAGAAAATATCGGATATGAGAGATGGACGTTTCATCAAGTGAAAGTGCCTAATTTTTATAGATGGGTAATTCACCCAACCCTGACACACATATATCGACACAATCCGATAAGATAGCAATCGACTCATCACACATATATTTTATATATCAACTCTACTTTTGAAACCAATATATGAGCTCTATTCTGACAGCTATATCATTGTCTCCTAACACCATCATAAGTATATCCTGACCTGTATATACTACACTATATCCTGTTCTGTATATATTAACTATATCCTGACCTGTATATATCACACTATATCCTGACCTGTATATATCACTATATCCTATATATATTACACTATATATTATATATATATCCTGACCTGTATATATTAACTATATCCTGACCTGTATATATTACACTATATCCTGACCTGTATATATTACACTATATCCTGACCTGTATATATTAACTATATCCTGACCTGTATATATTACACTATATCCTGACCTGTATATATTAACTATATCCTGACCTGTATATATTACACTATATCCTGACCTGTATATATTGACTATACTGACACCCGTATGCTGACTCTATCCTTTCACCTGTATGCTGAGTCTATCCTTACACCTGTATGTTGACTCTATTATCACACCTGTATGCTGACTCTATTATCACACCTGTATGTTGACTCTATTATCACACCTGTATGCTGACTCTATTATCACACCTGTATGTTGACTCTATTATCACACCTGTAAGTTGACTCTATTATCACACCTGTATGTTGACTCTATTATCACACCTGCATGCTGACTCTATTATCACACCTGTATGCTGACTCTATTCTTACATCTGTATGTTGACTCTATTATCATACCTGTATGCTGACTCTATTATCACACCTGTATGTTGACTCTATTATCACACCTGTATGTTGACTCTATTATCACACCTGTATGCTGACTCTATTATCACACCTGTATGCTGACTCTATTATCACACCTGTATGTTGACTCTATTATCACACCTGTATGTTGACTCTATTATCACACCTGTATGCTGACTCTATTATCACACCTATATGCTGACTCTATCCTTACACCTGTATGCTGACTCTATTATCACACCTGTATGCTGACTCTATTATCACACCTGTATGCTGACTCTATTATCACACCTGTATGCTGACTCTATTATCACACCTGTATGCTGACTCTATTATCACACCTGTATGCTGACGCTATCATATCACACCTGTATGCTGACTCTATTATCACACCTGTGTGCTGACTCTATTATCACACCTGTATGCTGACACTATTATCACACCTGTATGTTGACTCTATTATCACACCTGTATGTTGACTCTATTATCACACCTGTATGCTCTCTATTATCACACCTGTATGCTGACTCTATTATCACACCTGTATGCTGACTCTATTATCACACCTGTATGCTGACTCTATTATCACACCTGTATGCTGACTCTATTATCACACCTGTATGCTGACTCTATTATCACACCTGTATGCTATTATCACACCTGTATGTATGCTGACTCTATTATCACACCTGTATGCTGACTCTATTATCACACCTGTATGCTGACTCTATTATCACACCTGTATGTTGACTCTATTATCACACCTGTATGCTGACTCTATCCTTACACCTGTATGCTGACTCTATTATCACACCTGTATGCTGACTCTATTATCACACCTGTATGCTGACTCTATTATCACACCTGTATGTTGACTCTATTATCACACCTGTATGTTGACTCTATTATCACACCTGTATGCTGACTCTATCCTTACACCTGTATGCTGACTCTATTATCACACCTGTATGCTGACTCTATTCTTACACCTGTGACTCTATTATCACACCTGTATGCTGACTCTATTATCACACCTGTATGTTGACTCTATTATCACACCTGTATGCTGACTCTATTATCACACCTGTATGCTGACTCTATTATCACACCTGTATGCTGACTCTATTATCACACCTGTATGCTGACTCTATTATCACACCTGTATGCTGACTCTATTATCACACCTGTATGCTGACTCTATTATCACACCTGTATGCTGACTCTATTATCACACCTGTATGCTGACTCTATTATCACACCTGTATGTTGACTCTATTATCACACCTGTATGCTGACTCTATTATCACACCTGTATGCTGACTCTATTATCACACCTGTATGCTGACTCTATTATCACACCTGTGTGCTGACTCTATTATCACACCTGTATGCTGACTCTATTATCACACCTGTATGCTGACTCTATTATCACACCTGTGTGCTGACTCTATTATCACACCTGTATGCTTACTCTATTATCACACCTGTATGCTGACTCTATTATCACACCTGTATGCTGACTCTATTATCACACCTGTATGCTGACTCTATTATCACACCTGTATGCTGACTCTATTATCACACCTGTGTGCTGACTCTATTATTACACCTGTATGCTGACTCTATTATCACACCTGTATGCTGACTCTATTATTACACCTGTATGCTGACTCTATTATTACACCTGTATGTTGACTCTATTCTTACACCTATAGATAAATTTCATCATAAAACATTTTATATGTCGCCCCATTTTCTAACATCCATTGTTGATGTCCACAGGAGTCTCGTGAGAAGGAAACCGTGGCATTTTTCGTCATCGTTCGGAATGGACTGGTTTTGTTAGTATACTCGTTATTCGCAGTATCATTACAAAACACCACTAGTACACATCTTGTACACAGTGTCAAATACTTACGTTAGAATATAATTTGTTGATTTCCTTGTCGTTGAGTATAATATCCTGGTATCCAATTTTTTGTTTAATATAATTTGCCTGTGAACCAGAGATACATATGTGTTAATGATGTGAATATCAGTATTCAAGAAAACAACGGGAAGTAAGTAACGTAAGCGTTAACATTGTGATAGGAAAGATTATCACATATAATCACGGTCATTACTGAAGAATTTTTACATTTGCAAATATATACTTATTTATATAGATTATTTAGATTTAGAGAAATGAGAACCTTCTCCCTAGCTAGATCCCTAGTAACGTCGTCCATCCAATCATTACTGCCCACCAGCTCGTTGAAGGCTATTTTGAGTCGTCTAATCAGTTCTTCTGTCTGTAATGTGGAACACATATTTGTTACATCGATTGTGATTCTTCACTGCATAACAAAACAAATTTCACCTAAAGTTTTTAATTTACAAATCTTTCTGATTTCAAATTTTATTAAATTCCATGATTATTGCAACTCCTCATCTAGGTTTCGACTTTTTTTTTCGTCCTCGTTGGATTTTCCTAAATCGCCCCCAGGGATTAACAATTGAGTTCTTAAGCATCACCGAAGACGTTCAACAATTGCTACACTTTATTTTTAACTGGGAAATTTATATGAATAAAAATTGGATACTGATATCAATTTTGAAGATAATAAAAGGTCATTTAGACAAGAAAGATGTCATTTACTTCATTATAGATATATTTATTATTTTATAAGAGAAACACCAACGATACACCCTCCGACCAAAACACACCCAGACACGCTTTATACCAGCACCTCTTTATGTTACACAATTCACGTCAGTGTCTATGACAATGAATGCGTTGCCTTACATCTTTCTTGGACTCCTCGTCAAAGGCCTCCTTTACAAACAGTCTACCTAAAGCCATGCCAAGGTTAGAATTGATGTAAGAGGAACACGTGCGCCATCTTGCACGCGGGACAGCGGTTCCGTATAGCACCTAAAACAATCAAACGTTGAGGATGAACATCACAAAGAACACCATCAGGCATCACATTTATTGTTTTGTAAGATTGAAAGCAGAATTTGTAAATGAGAATTACATTAAAGAAGCTGTCTAGAAATAGCAATCTGTGACCTTGGCATACGTGATTCTCATTCTTTAATTATGAAGTATAGGACAAAGTGATTACATCACACACACGTGTTAATACCTTCCACTTGTATAAAATCCTCCCTATACATATTGCCAGTATATTTCACACATTGATTGCGTCAGCATCAACAACCGTGATCACTGACCTTGAACAGATCGCAAATATGTCACAACATAACCAAAGCAACACGCGTGCGCAATTTGATATAAAAAAAACAATGTTGGTGTAGAAGCTTAGACAGTTTGCGCACAAACAGTTAAATATCTAACTGGAAAAAATATTTTCTAACGCTCTTCTTGTCAATATTTTCGAAATGTAAAAGTTTAAAGATCTTGTATATTTAGTTTCTTTATCTACTGAAAGAGTTTTTTTTTTAAATCAGAACTTTAGTAAACATGCAGTGTCTTGACGTTACCAGGACGACATTCATGTGTGATGATGTAATATCAGTGTTTTATAATATATGATGTTATCAAGAATAGTAGAATTGAACAGAGGACAACAATATGAACTGTAGCTGATACCTGTACCGCTGTATAAACCTAGGAGATATTACTAGGTATATTAGTAGGAAATTGTAACACTTTGGGAATCAATTACCTTGTTATATTTGGTGATCAGTTCCTCATACGTTTCGTCCAAGTTATATATTCTATTCTTCATTATTCTCCAAACGGCGTAGTTAGCAACAGTTCTATGAAACAAGCAAATTGACCATCACATTTTTTCTTTGAATATTGGAATATTTGAAATTGATATTTTTACACATAATACACATAAGAACGAGAATTAAGTTTTAAATCATAGATCAGTAAAAAGTGTTACCTCTTTCCGTGTTTCTGTAGGATGCCGAATAATTTTTCAAAGTAAGGTACTGCCCGAACAACCACTGGTTCACTGGCATTCACAGTGATGTTAACGCCTTCCATTAGCATAATCCCAGTAATATAATCTTCCCAGCTAAACATCACCTAGAGAACGAAGATTATTTCTCTGGAATAGTATTCTCGTTTAGATTCAATTAGGCAATGAGTCATATCAATTAACTAACTAAACCATCGGCGAAGGGTGAGTGTTTTACAGTACACCTTATAAAAAGTATTTCTGTCTCATATCCACAACACCAACAACATTTATCCTCAAATCAAAACTAGACTGAATTTTCGAATTATCACAACTGAAGAGAAAAATTGATGTAATTGTTTTTATGAAATAATTAAACGGATGACAAGATTATATGTGTGGTATTTTCTGTATATTTATCTTCCTTGGGAATGGCCGTTAATGATTATACCTCTATTTGATATCGTTCTTTTACTAGCAAGGTGTTATATAACATTGACTCTGATGCACCGTATACTCCGCTTGTGTTTTAACCTAACACTGATGTAAATCAGTGATAGAATCATATGGTACAGTGTACTCTCGTGGTATATATCTTAATGAAACCAGAAACATAGTCATAGGGAAGCTTATACCCCATATGAATTATCTAAAAATATGAACATCGAAGAAATCATATCAAACACTAACAAAAATCACAGTAGATTGTTAAAATACATTTGTTTATTTACAAGATGATAGGATATTATGTGCTGTACTCACATCTCCCGGTTCCGTGAAATTTTCTGAAAGTTGAGACAATGGCATACGGTTATAAAGGACGTTACTATCTCGCCTCTCCTCGGAAGCCATGGAGATCTGAAACAGTCACGTGTATCGCTGTAATGTCACGTGTCTTACTGGTGCACGAACTTCAGAATACAGAGGAGAAAAAGACATGGTGATTAATCTTACTGATACTTCATGTATATTGTATCTTCAATATAAGATTTGGAGGGAAAAGAAGTACAGAAATTTTGGCATTAAGAACAATTTTTAAAGGAAAAAGGAAAAGAAAAAACATTCAGCTAAAAGCGACAGTTTATCTGAGCAGGGTATAATTTAAATGTCATTATGAAGGCAATTCTGAAATAACCCGAAATTTTATTAAGACACAGGCAGTTTATTTAACACTAGTTTGTTAGTTTCGTAAGATACAAAAGACTTAAAAATCGAGTCTTTTGAAAACACTGAACTATCAAGCAAAACCTGAAGTGAAATTATACGACAATGGAAACTGTATGAATAGATAGTATGTAGAATTTCTTATAAAAAAACTTATATTCCTTTAACAATGTGTTGTAAACGAAAGCTAGATAAACAATAATACTGATGACGTTAACTTACATTCGCGATGTCAAATTCCAAATCAATCAAGTCTTTCACATCGTTTGTTGCCGTATCTTCGGAAGCACCAAATGCTAGGGCGACAGATTTAGCCAGCTCTTCATACGCTTGCACCATGACGTCATCACGACCCTTTTGATAGTATTTCTGGCCAGGCATGCCAAAACCGGGTTGGTCGATCTGATGACAATAGCAATTAATGATCCTTTATAATGGGCAATCGGAAACATATACTGAAGCATTTTATTTCTGCATATTCAAACTTGAGCAGCGGGAGGATTTACCTCATATATTTGGAAATATTTTCCCGTTATTGAAACGGTTTGCTAAGGAAGTGTGGTGAGATTGTAACTATATTTACCCGAAATGTAAAGTCGGCAGCACAGAACTTATTAACAGTTAATATATCCGTAACACAGTATATATCTTTCAAACCAGATGGTGTAGCTTAACTTTGACAATCATTGAATCATGGATAGGTTTGATCCAGTTTCATAACCTAATGGGTGGAGAACGGGAAAAAATCTTATTCTTAATTAAACTTGAAACGATGGCAAAAGATGAACAAAGAAAGATTAACAATAAACATCAAGAAAATACAACATGTCAACATAATCATTATCTAAACTCAAATTCCATAAAATTGTGGGCAAATATCAACAAAATAAAGATTTGAACATAGACTTCTGAAAAGGTACAAGGGGGATAAGACCAGGTGTTCCGGAAGAGTAATCGTCTTCTGCTTTCTCGACGACATCCGCCATGTAAATCTTGGTCAATCCAAGTAAGTAATGTCACATTCGTAAATAAAAACAAGGTATACAACAACGGAACCAACAGGCAACCTAACGAGCAACAGATACGTTCAGCTTCATATCACACAACGGAACCAACAGGCAACCTAACGAGCAACAGATACGTTCAGCTTCATATCACACAACGGAACCAACAGACAAACTAACGAGCGTCAAAAACATCCAGCTTCATACCACACAACGGAACCAACAGGCAACCTAACGAGCAACAGATACGTTCAGCTTCATATCACACAACGGAACCAACAGGCAACCTAACGAGCAACAGATACGTTCAGCTTCATATCACACAACGGAACCAACAGGCAACCTAACGAGCAACAGATACGTACAGCTTCATATCACACAACGGAACCAACAGGCAACCTAACGAGCAACAGATACGTTCAGCTTCATATCACACAACGGAACCAACAGGCAACCTAACGAGCAACAGATACGTTCAGCTTCATATCACACATAGAAATAGAATATTTCTTTATGAGATTTCTATGGCAACCACACAATTTACCCATCAGAGAAAATACCAGCAACGAAAACAAGACCAGGTGTTCTAGAAGGATAAACTCTATCTGCTTTTAGTATCGGCTTTACCGACGACACCTGCCGTGTTACTAAGTAAGTCATGTTACAAGTAAGTAAAGTATACGAGTTAAATCTGATATCTACTTACATAAATAATCCTGACTGTGGAATTCTTCACGTCTGTATAAACATACATCTGTATAAGCGGTTTGTTATTGTACTTGATGAGGCCAATCAGCAACCGAGTCAAGTCGTAATCGCTTTCATTCCAGTTACCGCCTGGTTTCGAACCCAGTACCGGCCAACCTCCGAGGTCGTTTAACAAAGGGAATGCTACCGAAATGTTTCGTTGTTTAATGAGATCTACACAAGTAAAAAAAAATCTAGTATAATTGACAACATTAAAATAAAAAAACAACATATGATGGCCATGGAACAGAATAATTGGCCAGTGGCCGGAAACACGATCAATAGTTTCATATGCTACAGATGTATACAAAGGCAAATTAACAGTTCTGGTTTAACGTTACATATTTCAACAGATCTGACCTAATCCAAGTGTAAATGATTTTGAAGACGTTAGATAGTAATTTCTGTGGTGGATTTCCTTGTTCCCCAGGCGGGCACCAGCATGGAGTGTCACTCTTAAGTTCTCAAGAATACTGTCACTCGTTCAGAAAATACAAACGGCCATGGCATGCTTTTTAAACTACCCAAAATCCATAACTCATAAAATCATTTGAAATTCTTTCCAATACGTTTTTTATTCGATAATTTATTTTTCTTGAATTACGTTTTGCCCTTAGTGTCACTTATGTGTCCAGCGGTTTTACTTTGATCAGTAGTAGTTGTGTGCCTTTTCAATCGTATGGTTGTGTTGGTACGGTACAATATAGTTTACACATCAATATAGTTCTATTTACGAAACGATGGCCCCATTCTTTTCTATGTTAGACTATACAATTTAGATATCAATATAATTCTATTTACAAAACGATGGCCCCATTCTTTTCTATGTTAGACTATACAATTTAGATATCAATATAGTTATATTTACGAAACGATGGCCCCATTCTTTTCTATGTTAGACGTATTATCCAATACCAAATTTCATCTTGTGCACACCGATGAAGAAAGCAGTGAAAAGCCCCAGATTTAACATAAATATCATAGCGACTGATAGCACTTAGATAAAACCTACATCCTATCAACAAACTAACATTGCTACTTTAATTATCTGAGTTTAGTATATAAACATACAGCTGTCAGGTTTAGCTGCAGGCGTATGATGAAATTAGAAAATATCCAATAAGTCGATTATCAAGGAAGTATGGATATACGTTTATTTTAATGCATAAAAAGATCATCCATCATCTCTATCATCACTGAACAATGTTTCCAAGTAGCCCCGGGTCTAATCTAACAAAGTGCAAGATCAAAATTTGATCATTAGCAAATTCCAGGCAAATGATATATAAAGCGGATATGAGACAAGAAACGCATGTTTAATCGAGCTGAGTACAGGCATGTATAGAAAGAATTTAGAATTTAACAAAATCGATTCTCACTATGAGAACGTGACCTTTTCTCTTCTCGTACTTGATTTATATATATATATATTAAAAATATTTTGAAATATTTGTAGAGGTAGTCCAAATAAAGCTTAAAACCCTATTGAAAATCGAATAGTAATATTCGTCTGGCGTTCTAGAAAATTAACTGAAAATGGAAATTAAGAACAAGAAAAGAAAAAGTCATGTTCTCAAAGTGAAAACCAAATTAAAATCGAATTTCTTATATCGCTCAAGATTATTACAGTACACAGTGTGATCCTGATGACAAATTCCTCATGTACTATTGCAATCTATATCATTCGACAACCGAAGGTATCTTTGTTTTAGAAACGGAAATCCTAATATTTCAATATTTGAAAACATTTGAGATATGTAAATACATTGATGTTTATATATCTGTTTGTTTACTATAATATCCAACATTTGTTTACAAAAAATGCATATTTTTTGTCCGTAAATGAAAACATAAACAATGGGATGGAGTTCATACATGTAAATTTCGGGAGGGAAATTTTATAAGCAATTCTCATTTTATATGAATCTAAAATGCACTTTTGGTTCTTAATATACACTTTTTCTAGTATTGAACGTAATACACGTGTGTCAGAGTGGTGAAGTTTCGCACTCTTTGACATCGAACTTAATCAACATGCATGTGATAAGAAATGTACATGACTCGGTGATTTGTAACAAGTGTATTTACAGCGTCCATGATTGATTGATGTCAGGTGTAATCATACTTAATGCTATTTAACACATTGTCGTTTTTGTATAGAACCTTTGTTTAATCATGGATCATTAAGTTGTCAGAAATCTTGGTGATGGTCTAAGCATATCTGTCACTCATGACAAAAATGAATAATGCATTTGAAGCATGTCAGGATGTAACATCTGATACAACCAGGAAGACATTCCTTCTATCTAATGTGATAATGATATGTACCTAATCGTTTTTAATTCTTTCTTATTTTGTAAAAGGAAAAAGTGACACATCTCTTTGTAATTTTGATTATATCATGCCAAACTATAGCAAATTCAAAGCAGACTGTTCTGACATTTTCATTTGCCAAGTTTCTCTGTAGTGCGATAGTTGAAATTTCATTAAGGTTACCTTTACTGCCCAATCCTATCGGGGACTTACCTTGATCCATGCAGGACTTGTACATGTTTTTTATGGTTTTCTCAACCGTTATGTCATCATTTGTGATGGGGGCCTCTAGGAGATCTGCAAGAAAAAACAGATACATTTCCTCACAGACAAAAATCGATAACCTGAACATGCAAAAAGAGGTACTTATAGTGAGTTTATAGTGATGAGAATAGCACAAGAACACACCTGTCATTGAATTACTTATTGATCATGATATGCACACTTACATTATAGTCTGTGTTATCTACTTACTTTTAAGGACAACCTCTACTTCATCTCGTAATATTCCAAATACATCTTGACTTGAGCGGTCTTCAGGGATGATGTTCTGTTTTCTCCATGTCCCACACGCGAAATCGAAAAAGTTTTCACACGGTTCCACAGTGGTGTCAAGGTTGTTTAACATCCTAGCGGCTACAATTTAAAGCATTTCTCAACCTTGAAGAAAAGATCTCACACGTGTCTTTCTCAAACAGACAATGAATACTGTAGTAATAATGAGTTCTGAACAAAACACGAAACAACAGGCACTAGGGGAACAGTTTGAATCTTAAGTATCTTATTAATACTTGTAAAATATCATTTCCCGTGGTTGCTATCTATAACACTACACGTATGTTTGTATGGGCTTTCTACGGATAATGGATTCTGGTACAAATTATCATATAGCAAACTTATTGTTTTACCATTTCATCATTAAAACATGTCTTTTTTATACAATAAGTTAAAGGATTACACGGGTTGTTTCAATATTTGTGAGTTTTTACACACATATGTAAATACAGACTTTACCTGACTCCGTGCAATCCCTGGTTAGGCAGACATCTGTAAAATTAAACATAACAATTAGAAAATTTCTTAGAATTCTTATCAACCGGTATACTGCAACGGAGTGTCATACAAGAAAAGTTCTTTTACGAAACTATGACAAAATTAGCTTCATGCTTTAATAAACACTTTTCCAGAAAAATCTGTATTCTTCTAATCAAATGTATTGTATATATACCATCAAAACATCAATAAATAAATAAAAAAAAATCTACTGCCATTTGCCTCGGTGACTTTCCCATTCAAGGTGATTATATATTGTTAACGTGCAGCAATCACGTGGCTATGGCGTCGTATTTTCGTTTCATACAAAATCACGTTTTAATGAATATGTTAACAAAGATGTGTACATCAAAAACAAGATGACAACGGTTCTGTTAGAAAAGATGATAAAAATCTCTGTTCTGACAGGGACGAAAGCAAGTCGATAATAGAAGGGAAAATCGGGACTTGAAGTAGATCTATATTGGATTGGAAATACGCTTAACAAGTGTGAAACTTATCACAGGAAAGGCTAAACGAATCAACAACGAATGAAAAGGGTGAATAGTTAAGCCCGTTTTAGAGGAACCGAACAAAAAACGAAAACATGCAAAAGCAGTTACTAAACTTGAATGTATGTTAAGAAGTTAAATCTCACTTGAGTAGTAGACATGTATCAGATCCCAATAACAAAACGTTTACTGTTAACAGGGAAAACATCAGCAGGATGACAGAAATTGAAATTATAATAAGCTACATTATATCAACGACTTTGCAAAAGATACACAGGTGAGTAATACACTTCCATTCAATTTCAGAATTAATTACACAGTATTGTATAGGAGGGAAACAGCTGATGACAAAAACATTTGTGCAGCGTACATGTCTTCATATACATGAACTTCAGCGACGGTAATTAAGACACCATTCCCCCAACCTGTGATTATCTGTGTAATGTCTTGAAACACAAATCTGATAGAGTCAGCACACATAAATAATGACATAATCATTCTACTGCAAGATTTGACAATCTCGTCCATCTATTTAGAGAGTCACTTATGATGAAAAAAATCCTGATTGAAGTTTTGGTATACTTTGAGGCAAACGTCTCAAACGAATCACCTTCCACAACATAAACTTATTATCAGATACTGTATACGATGAAATTTTCGTTTTATTTTCGTCCTTGAATTTGAAATGGGCGAAATTTTGTTTCGCTTATATATAACTTAGTCCTCAGAGGGCGAAATGAAAATGGAGCGAAATCGGGTAAAATGGTACAAGGTTAGAAAATCCTGCAGCGAAAAGATTTACAACTGAAGACCTCTTGGCCAATCACTAAATAAAATTTCTGTGTAATATTGCATTTACATCTACTAGTATTATGCCTGTTTGATTTACATGAAGCTAGTCCGCTGCCAAAGGTTACACAAAAATCTATGACAATCATCAACCGAAAGCCCCCTTGAGCTCTTAATTTGACAAAGATGTACTATGTGGATTTGTATGGTGTCTTATTAATTTCATGACGCATTAAATGAATAACTAGCCCATATGTCGTCCCTGCATCTTCCGGTCGCTTTGAAGAAACTTTTACTTTATTTACGTAAATAAGCCATCCAACACGGTGACCATTGTTTAACGAAAACTGCTTTGTCGGACACTTGACAGTGAGCACACTTCCGCTTTGTTGGTGCGGTTTACCAAATGACTTAACAGCAATGTGACCTTTAATTATTTTCTCTCCTATAAGTATGCTCACTGACATACGAATACAATAATATATAGGTATATCAAACCGTTGACAGTCTCGTGAAATAAAGCATCTACATTTAAACAAAAAAAAATCTGAAAACTAGGCTTTGTATAATTGTTTGCAATTAACGTGAAAACAAATTTGTCGGTAAAAAGGACGGTTTAACCGCACTCGAGTACAAATAAATCGACTTTAAATGTTATTAACCCGAAATTTCGTCTCATCGCCAAGTTTTTCTTTCTTGATTTCAAATATTCAATACTTCCGTATTGTAAAGATCGAAGTGAGGCCGGACTTTATCAAAACCTACCAAACCTATGTAGACGCAGCGTTAATTAATACTACCGTTGACCTACAAAACAAAGTGACTTTGATTAACATAGAGATAGGACGACGAGACTTACATACACATATGTCTTAGAGAAAATCCATTAATCTGAAATCACTGGCCGTTTATCAATATCATGTCATCTTTATTGGTCTAATTACATTATCTTTGAAATAAATGTATCTAATCATATTCTCCCCTCTTTAACAATGATATCATGTGTACAGCAGAATACAGTGTAAATATGTATTACGTTTCTGACAGATGTCAGAATGCGTCCGTGTAGTCGTACTGAGAATGCTAATTAATGAATGGAATTATTTTACATGCCCAGGGTCAGTGAACAATGAAATATGTTAAATAGATACTGGGTCTTTAGTCGATGTCTGATTGATGTAAGCATTGTATTCTGTTATAGAGGTAAAGCTATCTGGGTCATGATGGCATATCTTAGCTTTAAGATCGATTATAGAAAAATAACAGGGAAACGTGACACGGTTCATTCAGATAATACATTTCATTATACAACTGATCAAGGTGACTTTCCGTTCTCAACATGCAAATCATCGATCTATCTATCACGTGATATCTACGTGAGATAAAAATGATTTATTAAAGTCTTGCCTATTTTAAAAATGTAGAAGTATACCAATTAGCTACCAAGTATTCAATGAAGTTACAAAAATATTAACGACAATCATATCTACAAATATACGTATTTATGTGGAATACCAATCATTGTCAATACGTGGAATACCAATCAATGTCAATACGTATTTACGTGGAATACCAATCAATGTCAATACGTATTTACGTGGAATACCAATCAATGTCAATACGTGGAATACCAATCAATGTCAATACCTGGAATACCAATCATTGTCAATACGTGGAATACCAATCAATGTCAATACGTATTTACGTGGAATACCAATCAATGTCAATACGTATTTACGTGGAATACCAATCAATGTCAATACGTGGAATACCAATCAATGTCAATACGTCTTTACGTGGAATACCAATCAATGTCAATACGTATTTACGTGGAATACCAATCAATGTCAATACGTGAAATAACAATCAATGTCAATACGTATTTACGTGGAATACCAATCAATGTCAATACGTGGAATAACAATCAATGTCAATACGTGAAATAACAATCAATGTCAATACGTATAACAATCAATGTCAATACGTATTTACGTGGAATACCAATCAATGTCAACACGTGAAATAACAATCAATGTCAATACGTATTTACGTGGAATACCAATCAATGTCAATACGTGAAATAACAATCAATGTCAATACGTATTTACGTGGAATACCAGTCAATGTCAATACGTGGAATAACAATCAATGTCAATACGTGGAGTATCAATCAATGTCAATACGTGGAATACCAATCAATGTCAATACGTGAAATAACAATCAATGTCAATACGTATTTACGTGGAATACCAATCAATGTCAATACGTGAAATAACAATCAATGTCAATACGTATTTACGTGGAATACCAATCAATGTCAATACGTGAAATAACAAACAATGTCAATACGTGAAATAACAATCAATGTCAATACGTGAAATACCAATCAATGTCAATACGTGGAATACCAATCAATGTCAATACGTGAAATAACAATCAATGTCAATACAAATTTACGTGGAATACCAATCAATGTCAATACGTGAAATAACAATCAATGTCAATACGTATTTACGTGGAATATCAATCAATGTCAATATGTGGAATACCAATCAATGTCAATACGTGAAATAACAATTAATGTCAATACGTATTTACGTGGAATACCAATCATTGTCAATACGTGGAATACCAATCAATGTCAATACGTGGAATACCAATCAATGTCAATACGTGGAATACCAATCAATGTCAATACGTCTTTACGTGGAATACCAATCATTGTCAATACGTGGAATACCAATCATTGTCAATACGTCTTTACGTGGAATACCAATCATTGTCAATACATGGAATACCAATCATTGTCAATACGTGGAATACCAATCAATGTCAATACGTGGAATACCAATCAATGTCAATACATGGAATACCAGTCAATGTCAATACGTAGAATACCAATCAATGTCAATACGTCTTTACGCAGAATACCAATCATTGTCAATACGCGGAATACCAATCATTGTCAATACGTGGAATACCAATCAATGTCAATACGTATTTACGTGGAATACCAATCAATGTCAATACGTGGAATAACAATCAATGTCAATACGTATTTACGTGGAATACCAATCAATGTCAATACGTGGAATACCAATCAATGTCAATACATGGAATACCAATCAATGTCAATACGTGGAATATCAATCAATGTCAATACGTATTTACGTGGAATACCAATCAATGTCAATACGTGGAATACCAATCATTGTCAATACGTGGAATACCAATCAATGTCAATACGTGGAATATCAATCAATGTCAATACGTATTTACGTGGAATACCAATCAATGTCAATAAGTGGAATATCGTCAATACGTATTTACGTGGAATACCATTCAATGTCAATACGTGAAATAACAATCAATGTCAATACGTGGAATACCAATCAATGTCAATACGTATTTACGTCGAATACCAATCAATGTCAATACGTGAAATAACAATCAATGTCAATACGTGAAATAACAATCAATGTCAATACTTGAAATAACAATCAATGTCAATACGTGGAATACCAATCAATGTCAATACGTGAAATAACAATCAATGTCAATACGTGAAATAACAATCAATGTTAATACGTGAAATAACAATCAATGTCAATACGTGGAATACCAATCAATGTCAATACGTGAAATAACAATCAATGTCAATACGTGAAATAACAATCAATGTCAATACGTGGAATACCAATCAATGTCAATACG